GGAAGGGAGTTATTGGCAGCTAACAGTTACTAATGGCAAAGAAATAATTTTCTTGGGTCATGTGGTCAGTTGGCTGCCTATGTCCCAGTGAATTCAATAGAGTATTAAAAAAATAACTAAAAAGGAAATAAAGTTGAGGAGATAAGATGTGTTGTGGTTTAGGTGGAGGGAGGGAATGGGGATGGATATGATGAAGATGCATTATATGAAAATTTCAAGGAATTAATAAAAGTTAAACAATACTCATTATTTATGACCAATGTGATTTGATGAAGACAATTTGTGAATTAATTTCTTCTTCTGAAGACAAGGATAATACCTTGTATGATTAGTAATTTGAGGAATAATCACCAAAATAATGCATGCAAAATGTGTGGCATCATGGCTAGCTCATACTAACCATCTATAGTCAAAGAGAGAGATCAGTTGCTAACAGCACTTATTATTCTTACAGAATAAATGAGTGCAGCTTCCAATGCACATATTAGGTGACTCACAGACTCCTATGTTTCCAGCTGCAGGGGACTTCTGGCCTATACAGGTACCTGAACTCATGAGTACATACTTCCATACAGACACCAAAACAGTAAAAATTAGTAACCCCCCCATACACAAAAACAGAGCCTATTCTTATCATTATCCTGACCACATGGATCCATAGAACTGAGTGCTGTTTAGCTCCCATAAGAGCATATTAGTGCAGGAGGCCCTAGATGGGAAAGGCACAGGGGATGAAAACACTCTATTTTCATTGCGTGTTTCCTTCCTAGATTCAAGTATGTGTGACTGCCTTGAAATGCTTTATGGGTTTTTATGGAAATCTAGCAGCTAGGACATATGAGCTGTTTATTAGGCTATTTTTGTTTTCTTCATTCTTTATAGCTGTGTGTGGTGGTACATGCCTTTAATCCCAACACTTGGGTGGCAGAAGCAGGCTGATTTTTACATATTGGATCTCAAGTCTGCCAGGAGTATATAGTGAGACCCTGGCTCAAAAACAAAGACAAAATTATCGCTTGTGTCTGATCATGCTGAAATTGAGTTCGCTTTTAAAGAAACAGTAATTTGTTGTGTAGTGTCACATGATGAGATTGGAAAATAGTAATAGTCTAATAAATTTAAAACAAGTAGTGTTCATTTGAAATTGTAGTGATTAAAACACAAAATCAGGATGCTTAATGTACAGTCATGTCAATTAGTTTTCCAGTAGGTGGCAGACATTGTCAAGAAGTTATAGAAAAGAAAAGAAAGTTCTACAACTTCCAAAGCTGACCAACAGGTGTCTCTTTACAACCATGTATATGAGCTCTTGTTTAAAAAAAAAATCCAGGCAGGTATAACATTTGCTTGTCTTTCTTGTTCATCTGATAGCATCATCACTACTCTACTAAAAGTGCAAACTAAGCACTGAAGAGGTGAGTCTGCCCAGCAGAAAGGGACATCAACAAATTCTTTGGAGGAAAAAGACATTGAATACAGTTGAATAGAAGAAAACGGCCTAATAAAATGTTTTTCTTAAGTGGAAAAAGACTCCCCATTTAAAGGACCTTGAACAGTACTGGCCACATGTGCAGGTGTTTACTCAACTTTAGAGACAGAGACAGATAGTAGCTATGGGCCTAGTTGATGGTTCTTAACCAGGAAGGACATCCTGACATCTCATTGATATTGCTTCCCATCCCAATTTCAATAGATACACACACACACACACACACACACACACACACACACACACACACACACACACACACACAGTGCATGTACATCTGCACGTGCACACTTGTCTGGCTTTACTGGTATCATTAACATATTTGCATCTCTCTCCCTCTCTCTCTCTCTCTCTGTGTGTGTGTGTGTGTGTGTGTGTGTATAAGTATGTAAGCAGTATCCTCTGAATTCTCTGTGGGTACAGGATTCAGAAAAATTTGCCTTTTATGCTAGAGAATATTTATCTCCACTTTATTCTAAATTAGGTATGTATAGTAAACATGGTTCCACATAGAGAAGACCAAATACCAAGAGGAAATGTCATTTCTGTTGATAGTTTACTTTATCAAAGACTGAGTTAAATGATAAATCAGAGATGAGAATGTATGTCCAAATTCACACCGGGATATAAACATGTACAAACTCATAAAGGGCATCACACCACTGTCAAGAAGCTTCAGTTAATAAGATAAAATTTTATTCCTCTCTAGTAGATATTTAAATTAATAGTATTTTATGATAATTTCCAGATACTACATGCAAACCAATGACTTTTTATCACTTCACACTGTTCACAGTTATTAACAGCCCAGCCACATGATGTAGTTGCAAAGAAATATGGTTTATTTCAGGGCACAGCACTACATGGGATGTTTCAATACTTTAAGGCCTGGAAGTACCACTGGATAATAAATTTCATTTCCTTAATATTGCTGGCAGCTTCTACTCTAATCCTGTATGTATGAAGACCTAAGTGTGCATAAAGTAAGTACCAGTTTTTCCTCTCAAGCATTTTTCTGATGGAAGAATATGACTGTGTCTTTCCTGAAAAAAAGAAAAAAAAAAAAAACGGAAATTACAGCCATAATAAAGAAAGACCCCAGGAATCCCTAGAGCCTTTCAGGAAAGATCCAAGCCATCCTGGTCAGTTTGCCCAGAAAGTAGAGGAAATTGGAGAATGAGAAAATGAGATGAACTTTCTTGAGTCCCATCATACCCAGGAATCAGTTCCATTCAAAATAGGTCAAGATTACCTTCCAGTGGGCTTAAGCCTGCAAAAGAGTTATGAGGTCCACTACAAAAGATCATTACATTTTACAGTCTAAGGTTGAGCTTCCTTAACTTACCTGGTATCTCTAGCTTCCCTTGGTTGTGGTTCTCCACAAGAAGTATCTATCTCATAAGTGGCTTCTCTAAGCTGCCTAATTAAGGATCAACAGTTTCTCTCCTGCCTAGGTCTAATTCCTTGCATTAGCAAAGGCTACTTGCCACTAACACATTCTCTCTCTCTCTCTCTCTCTCTCTCTCTCTTTCATCTCTCTCTCTCTTTCATCTCTCTCTCTCTTTCATCTCTCTCTCTCTCCTTTTATATGAATTCAGAACGAAATATTTAAAATATTGTGATGCTGTCTAAGCAAAACAAAATCTTTCAGTCAGTGACCAAAGCCATCACCCTCACCCATAGAAGCCCAGTATCTGTCTGCAGGGAGAAAAATCAGTTCTGTGATACTAGAATCCTCACAGCTACAGCTGGCCTTCCATCCTTGCTTTTTTTTTTTTTTTAACTACATCAGGTTAACTAACACTAATTGTCCACTACTGCACCTGAGCAGAGCACCCATTTAATGTGATTTATGTCATCATCAGCCCATGGACTCTCCCCTGCTGACAAGTGGAACAGACCTCACCCGTTTAGCTCAAACCTGGCTCTATGGTGTAGCTAACCTTAAGCAGAGTTTGAAGTTCACAGGCTCTTTACAGGAATAAGGATATGAACATTTGCTGTCAACAGTAACTCAGGCCCCAGGCCTAGGTCACTGGGCATAAAGCTTGGCTGCTTTGTGCATTTGTGGTTCTAATTCAAGGGTTTTTGTTTTGTTTTTTTTCTTTTCTTTTTTGCTTTTGTTTTTCAACCACAATGAATTACTACTAAATTTTTAAATAGATATCAAGAACTCATTTTAGCAGGTTATCTTGTGTGTTATAATTACTTGTAAATAAATACTTAAATATCCTTTCACATTCCCAGTTGTCCTGTGGTTTTGTGCTCTCTCAATGATATTAGATCTCTAACAAACCATGTGTTTTGCTAGAAATTAGGTGGCAAGGGAAAGAAGATTTCTTGCTCTATAAAGCAGGTGACTGAATATAAACAAACCCACTAAGAAGACGACAATTCAAACTCCAGCTCTGATCCGCCTGGGGGAAAATCTAATGGATTTTGGTGTTTTCCTGTCTCCTGAAGATTCAGTTCCCTTCATATAAGGATTCATACAAACTCCTTTGTGTGTTTGACATTTAAATCAGTGCCTGTTGGAAGGAGAAAGGGAATCGTTGAAATTAGCCCAGGAAGTCTGCGTGTTTCCTTTTCCCTCACCCACACACTCCTGTTTTCTCATCCTCAGATTAAGAAGTTATGCTGCCTGACAATGCACTTTTCTCTTACAAGTCTCGACACCATCGGTGCTATTCTCTTTTATCTATTTTCTTCCAGCACCTGTTAGAAAAAAAAGTCAGTAGTCTTCGGGGGGGCGTTATTTCTATGGTTTTGTTGGGAAGGGAAGGGATAACACTGAAATTAACAAGAGTTGTCTACGGATATGGCGAAAACTGCTGTTTTAAAATGGTCACATCGGAGCATTTTTTTAGACCTATCCCTGTATTCAAATGCAAGTGATTGGCTGACTACTGGACTGTCTAAGCTGTCAGTCAAGTAGCTGGCAAAGTAACCCTTTTGCATCTTTTACTTAAAACCAGGAAAGTGGCGGGGATCAGGGGTCGGGAGGGGTGTTGAAAACTCCTACCAAAGAAAACACCACTAAATTAAAACAAATACTTTTAAAGAAATGTCTGTAGAGATTCACATTTTTTTTTCTTTTACTAAAGCACCATGTGTCTTAAAGGGAGGAAGTCTTGTTCACATGTCTTCATGAGAGATTTCCGTGCTTCTTCCAGAGCTTGCCTATTGTGGGAGTCTGCCCAAGCCTTCCCTTTTAATCATTGCTCTCTTCCAGTTCCTGGGATAGGCTGCTAGGCATTCCTTTCAAGCGGCTAACGCAAGACCAGCGAGTTAACTTTTCGGTGCGCGGTCCTAGAGCTGGCCAGACCTGCCTCAGCGGGCTGATGGGCGCCTTAACCTCCCTTGTACAAAAAATCGGGGCCATCATGGGTCCGTGTGCAAATAAACCCCCTCGAAGTGCTACTTCCAAATATAGGCTCTCCGGTCACCAAAGGCTCCACGGTCCCGTGGGCGGCCCTTACTTCCCGCCCACCCCGCGCCCGACAAGGCCCACATCTGGAAGCCAAGTCGTTCGCGGTCTGCTCGCCGGAACGCCTTCCCGCAATGCTCAAGAACTGAAATTTCCTCTTTGAAAACATTTAATGTATTTTGAGCCTCCACTGAAATGCCTTGAATAGCCCACTTTCAACCAGAATTTAGTCTGACAACAGATTCTTCCTCTGTTCACAGCTGTCCCAGAAGGAGGAGCTGAAATCCGAACCTCTCAGCTGTGATTGGATGCTTCTAGTAAAAACCAGGGAGAAAACCCCACCCAGCCCTGAAGAGCTCAGTCGGGCAGGGAGCCGGGTGACTTCAGAGGCGCCCGCTTGTCCCACGCCGCACCTGAGCCGCCGCGATGCTGTAGGACCGCCGCCTGGACCGTTATCCGCCCGCGCCCGCCTGCCGCCACCATGCCGCGTTCCTTCCTGGTCAAGAAACATTTCAACGCCTCCAAGAAGCCCAACTACAGCGAACTGGACACACACACAGGTAAAAATACGCTCTGCAAATCTGCACGATTGAACCGCGGTTCCACGGCTTTACTCTGCACACATTGGGCTGCTTTCCTTTAAATGTTGTCCTGAAACAGTGCTTTCAGTCTCTGGATCACTTAGAGTAAGTTTTAATTCAAATCTTTTGAGCGTTTTCCTTACAAGGAAAGCCTCCTTCCGGTAGTGCGGTGTGGTTCTCACTGTATAATGAGTGCTCTGCAATGAGCACACCCTTCCCCCGAGGCTGAGCTGTTACCTTGGGGAGCCAGGAACTGCAAAGCAGCTGGATTCCTGCATGCCATTGCCCCCACAGTAGAAGAGCCCATGCATGAAATGGAAAGCAACTCTACAGAAAGTTTTACAATCGTGTCTAGCTCTTCTTTATAAATGAGTACTGTAAGGCTCGTCCAGAATCCCCGATAGGAAGAGCCAGGGTAACTGTCAGCTTGCACAAGGACATTAAGCCCGGATGAAAGGAATGTTTCGTCATTCTGTGTATCCTTGTGAGGGAGTCTGTCTTCACTATGGAGTCTTGTGTGTATTGTTATGTGCTGTCTCAGACGGTGTACGTGTATTTTAAAAAGTATTTTTGCCTTAATTTTCTCTCCTTTTTCTCAATTTCTTTCTCCTAGTGATCATTTCCCCGTACCTCTATGAGAGCTACCCCATGCCTGTCATACCAAAACCAGAGATCCTCAGCTCAGGAGCATACAGCCCTATTACTGTGTGGACATCGGCAGCTCCATTCCACTCCCCTCTGCCCAGTGGCCTTTCTCCTCTTGCTGGATACTCCTCACCCTTGGGGCGAGTAAGCCCCCCTCCTCCATCTGATACTTCATCCAAGGACCACAGTGGTTCAGAGAGTCCCATTAGTGATGAAGAGGAAAGACTGCAAGCCAAGCTCTCAGACCCCCATGCCATTGAAGCTGAGAAGTTTCAGTGCAATTTGTGTAATAAGACCTACTCTACTTTCTCTGGGCTGGCCAAACATAAGCAGCTGCATTGTGATGCCCAGTCTAGGAAATCTTTCAGCTGCAAGTACTGTGACAAGGAATATGTGAGCCTGGGTGCCCTTAAGATGCACATTCGGACCCACACATTGCCTTGTGTCTGCAAGATCTGTGGCAAGGCTTTCTCCAGACCCTGGCTGCTTCAAGGACACATTAGAACTCACACAGGTAAGAGGAATATGTAGCAAACAATGCCTCTCAGCTCAAACAATTGTGTGTTGGGGCTGTCTGTGGGGTGCCTTGACATAGTGACAGGGGGTGCTTTTCATGAGGTGAACCACTGGTAGCTGCTGCCTGGCTGTTCAAAAGCTTGTTAGAGTAGCAGGTACTCCATTCCTTGCTAACAGCTTCGGCTCCTGAAACTGTAAACAGCATTTAGACTTTGGAAAGTACATGTAGAGGTTTGGTCTCAAAGATCAGTTAGAAAGCAGGAGTGAGGCACTGGATGTGTATTCTGCAGAACTGCCTCCGGTAGTCAGCAAATACAAATGCCTGGATCCTAGTGTTGATTGGATAAACAATCAGAGGGGTTTCCCATAGTTTTTTGGCTCTGTCTACACTGTGAAATGTGTCAACTCTTGACTCATTAAGTAGTAGATGGAACTCAATTTGATCTAGTTTTTTGATTTGCTTTTTGTTTTGGGTTTGTTGTAGTTGTTGTTTCTTGCTGCTGAATTTTTTTAAAATTCTTATCACAAAAGCATATGAGGGGAGTCTTGGCATTAATAGAGCCATGGTCGTCACACAGAAAGAGGAGAAATACTGGGAAGGTGGGAATATAGTCATCATACCTGCACCTGTTGAAGCAGAAACCCTGATCAAGAGAAAGCCCTTTAACTCTGAATTACGTCTGCATGTCTGGCAGAAATAAAGCTATTTGGTTGGTATTTTTTAAGGAAATTTTGGTTTTAAAGGCCTGATAGGAATATAGCTGCCTAACACAGGGGAGGGAAGGGTATAATCAGGCTAGGCCAATTCTCATTCTTTTGATAAAATACTGTTGATATTCATTAATGTTATTTGACTTTGTGGCCATAAAAACACTGACTGTAATTTTTTTCCCTTACCTCCACAAACCAGGGGAAAAGCCTTTCTCTTGCCCTCATTGCAACAGAGCTTTTGCAGACAGGTCAAACCTGAGGGCACATCTGCAGACCCACTCTGATGTAAAGAAATACCAGTGCAAAAACTGCTCCAAAACCTTCTCCAGAATGTCTCTTCTGCACAAGCATGAGGAGTCTGGCTGCTGTGTGGCACACTGAATGGTGCAACCAGTGTTTACTCGAACAGAATGCATTTCTTCACTCCAATGCCAAATGCCAAATGAAAGTCCAAAGCCATTTTCTCTTGTGCTTACCTACCAAATATGTATAGATACACACAAGAGCGACACACACACACACACACACACACACACACACACACACACACAAAACTATAGGACCGAATCTATTTGCTTAAAAATTAATCCTTTCTATGTGAAGTTTAAAATTATATTTACTGACAGCTAGATTGAAAGACGAAAAGACAAGAACCTTTCTCTTTAAACATGAAGTGAAAAGCACATCGCATCTTTTCTTACTAAGAAAGAATGCAGAGATTTACAATGCTGCCAAACCATTTCAACTAAAAGGAACAGTATTGCTTCGTGATAGAGTTGTAATAGTATTTCCAAGAGGAAGAGAGTTTGCCAGATGCTATCTCAGGTGCCTTATAAAGTACTCCAAGTTTACTTCCTTACATGTCGGATGTCTGGTTGTCATCGATGAATGAAAAAGCCTTTTCTGGATTGCCTACAATGCTTTAAACCATATCGTTACAAGAAAAAATATGAGAAAAAGAACAAAACGCAAGAGAATGTATTAAAATATTCTTGTTTTGTTTCATTTTTGCCATGTGTGCCTTGGAAGAGGAGGGAAGGACAATCTTCAAACATTCCTGGTGCGTGTGCCATGTCTTACTCTTTAAAAGAATCTTAGTGATTTATACGACAATTTAATGAATAAGACAATGTAATGCAAGAGAGCATCTTAGACATTTAGTAACGTACTTAGACTTTTGAAAATGCGTATGATGGATGCAATAATACTATGCCCCTCCAAGTGCCTGTTTTAATGAATTGTGTAGTTGATGCAAATTGTGTTTATTTTTATATGACTGAGTGGACTCTGTATGAAAGTGAGGTGTGGTCTGTAACTGGGCCTATATACAACCTGAATACTTGTGAAATCAATGTTCCTTTTTTAAAAAGTAATTTTCATGGTCTCTTTTTTACAATAAACATTTTTGGTGTAAAATCCGCTGCTCATATACTATTTTCAAAACCTTCATTTGTTTTAACATCGAATAATATACTGAAATTTATTTTTTGTGCTAAGAAAAAACATAAATGGTATTTTATACATAAAAGTACTAATTTATGATAAACTGCCTTTTTTAACTCTGAAAGTGATATCACATTCAGAGAAGATAACGTGATAGTAGCTTATCAAGCTTCTGGGACAACAAATGGTCATGTTAATAGTAATAAACACTTTTCAAAATATTCTGATGTTAATTTTATTGACCTTATGAAAATAAATTATAATCATTTATGTCTTTTCATATGCCATTGGAATAGTTAGAGTTTTTTAAAGGAAATATTATTTAATGAGATAAGAGAGGGAATCATAAAAAAGCCTACATGAAAGAAATAGTAATCGTAAGTAATACTCATTTGAAAAATTAAACCGTGTAAACAAAAGCTCATTGGTGGTGATGTAGGTAATATGTATGATGGCCTTAGGGTTAAACTAGAAAACTAAAGTCTCCTTTTATGGTATGACAAGTTGAGCAAGCTTCCACCCAAGCTCAGGATGTATTTCATAAAACATTATCTAATCATACATCCCATATTCAAATTCATGTTGTCTTAATGAATATGTGAGTTTCCTAACAATGATGAAGCTTCACTAGGTACCAGAGCATATGTGAACCCAAACTTGAAGGCTGTTGTGGCAGTAGTGCTTGCTATTAACTGACCATTTCTTTCTAGTATGATCAGAATTTGCAAAATCATCTTTTGATGCTTTATGATTTAAGCAAAAGCTGTTAGCATCTCAAAAGATTACTAATATACCACTAGCGTTGAAGCAAAAATAAATGTTAGACTGCTGGTTTCCCTACTGAGTATTTTGCATTATATTTTAGCTCATGTGTATAACAATTTTGTGTTTGATGACAAAAGCCAGTTGAGTATTATACTTTTTAATTGTTTGAATATCTCAAGCTGTAGTTCTCAGAAGCAAAATTATCTGACACAGCAGTTTATGGGTATGAAAGTGATGGCTTGTTATCCTGGAGCATTATAAAGTCATTGTAAAAAGCCAACTGAATTATGTATACCTGGAACAGAAATATTTCAGTAGTAATCTGAGAGTCTCCAAGCCAGCTAACAAGGAGACTGTCTTGTAAAGGGAAAAGCTGAGTCAAGTCTTTGTTAAAGCTCTGGTGGTTGCTCAGGAGCCATAGTTACCCTGATTTTGCTCTCTCACTGGTTAGAGCTGTAGGAAAAGTTTCCTGGTGTCAAAATTTAAGCAGCTACCTTTCAAAATGGAAACATCTGTTCATTACTTTAATGCCTCAGTGAAAGAATAATACATTTTCCAATATAGCCCCACCATTCTAATTTCACTCTTAATTTAAGTATTTCAGTTTTAGAAAAATATGGGTATGAAGGTACAGCAGATAGTCTTTAAATATGCCTGAATTTGTACCTTGGCTTTGACTATATATCTTCCTTTCAGCAATCCACAAAGCTTTGAAAATGTTCTGATCCTTCATGCAGTAACATGTACTGAGTCACAAGCTTTGGTGGATATCTCTCCTTTTCACTTTATGGACCATTCTCAGTATGGAAGCTCTCAGTGCTCAGCACAGCACTAGCACATCATTTGAATAAATATTAAATGAATTGATTGGAAAAGCAACTGAATTGGTAGAAAATCTTACGAAGTCAGTTTATTTCCTTGTCAATTATGGTAACTTTCAAGAAAATCCCTGCCACCATTCACTTTCTGTCCTTATGCAAGTTTGGAATAACACTGTGCCTAGGTTTCCTAAAGCACAAAATAGGAACAGAGTCTCAGTACCACAGATAAAAAAACTGAAGAGCCCTTGCACTAATGTTTCTGCAAGATCCCTACTGCTGTTATTTAATATTTACTATATGCATATTACTATGTGTATAGTACATACTGATACTGTGTAGGACATATACTTGTGCATAGGATTTGTCATGATAATAACACAGGGCATTGCTATTTCACCAATTTAGGTACAAAACTCAGGTTGAAAACGTCCCCCAGGTAGCAAAGGAGACAAGCTGCAGAACAGAAAACCATACCTAGACTTTTTGCCTCCAAGTTTATATGCTTCCCACGCTGTGAAAATGTGGAGAGTTACTCACCTACACTAGCTTAGTGAATTTTTATACATCATGGGTCTCTGTTAAAAGCTTGGTAAAATGATGGTAACATTCTGAAATGCAATGTGTTAATGCTGTACCTGGGAGATCATCACTATTCAAAAATTATACCACTGATATCAACACTCTTTGGAAGGCTGTCCCATGTTGTAGACATCCTGCTGGCTCCTCCTGCTCCAGCCTGGGCCCTCCTTGCTGTCCATATAACTACTTAGGCTGACGTCTCACATGGGAGCCCATTTCCTCTGGCCTGATCTCTTGGAGATGAAAAGCAGCTGCTACCCATCCTCTGTGCATTAGCACTTCATCTTCTGAAGGCCATTGCTGCTCCCTCCCACACCCACACTCCTCATCCTGCTTTTATCTTTCCAGACTGAGAAGACTCCCAAGCTAAACAGCCATTCCTTCCCCCACTAAAATGTGGATACTTTGGTGTAAAAAGACAATCGAAAGTTAGAAACATATAAGGCTTTTTCAGGATAAGAGCCACATCTTAGAAGTTGCCCCTATTTAAATATAGGAAACATTTAAACAAAGTTAATTTCAGATTCCGTACTCTTTGACCTAGGGAAGAACTAATTTTCAAATAGGATGATTTTCTATCACAGAAGACAGTGGAACTGGAGCGTCTCTACCTAAGTTAGCTGCATGGGATACGCTGAAATCCTGTTCTTAAGCAGTAAGCATGTAAGATCTAGCAGTAAAGGAGGGAATGGCTAGTGAGTAATGGGTCCAGATTCTTAACCCTGCAGGAAGCAATCATTCCTGTGAGGAAAGCACATGTCCAGATCAGCAAGCATGGCAGCTTTTCCTCTGTGGCACCAGGCCAGACTCCCGAACAATGAGAGATTAGCAGAGGAAATGGCAGCACATCCATGTCCTCTGACTCCAAAAGGAACAAGGTAGGTATTTATAGCAGGAGCAGGAGAACTGCTATTAGAGAAAGCAGGGATATTTGAACATTCTGAACCAATTCATCCCATTAAACTCCGTAACAGTTGAATCCATTCAGCTTATTCTTATGGAAGCACGGAAGGGAATAGTTTAGAGGACCTTTAAATTGTCTCAAAGTAGTTTCCTTGGCAATAATCAATGATAAAGACCTGGTGGTACTTGTCTGCTTTGGCATCATCTTTGATGGTGGAGGGGATGTGATCCTGTCTCCTGGTTTATTCTGGGGCATGTGTCAAGTGATTTCCAGGTATGGAGCAGCAGAGGACTTCCTTAAATACTCAGGCGATGCTAAGGAATGAGAAGGAGAGTTCCAGCTCAATAAAACTGGAATAACGTCTCTTGCCAAAGACAATGGATGCAGTTCTACTTCTCATATAAGTTCCAACTTCAATCCATGTATATAGGTATACATATACAAGATGTATAGGACATTCTTGTTTCGTGTTAAAATATTCCTCCAAAGAATTAGCAGAATGGCCAGTACAAAATGTGCTTGTTGGGAGTATAGCTCAGTGGTAGAGCATTTGACTGCAAAATGTGCTTGCTTCTTTCCATACCTGGCTTACCGAGCTCTACAGTCTGTGTTCTTGTCTTGTCAGGGCCAATGCATGAGGGATTTCATTGTGCCCTGTCTCCTCCAGGGGTTGTTAAGCTCCTGTCAGCTGGCTCTGAGGGGCCTGAGAGTGTGCACTTCTATTCCAAATGATGGCCCCTGTAGAGGACAGGTCTTACCTGTACCCAGGAAGTACAACCTTCAAGCCCAGTCCTAGTTGCCCAGAAAGGGCAACTATATGCAATCAAAATGGCCATTGGGGAGAATGGAGGGACTCAAGTGGAGCCTAGAAGGTGGCTTTACTCCATGTGGGCCTAGTGGAAGGTGGAAGGCAAGAACACAGAGATTTCCACCAACGTCAACTCTCTGCCTTCTCTACTTCCCAACCTGCAACACCACAACTCTTGAGTTATCATCAACCCTCCGTTGAAAAATCCATGGATTCAGCCATATCAATTTTTTTGTAAAAACTGCCTCAATACTGAATATATAGAAATACTTTAATAATTGTTTCCTAGATAATATAGTAAAATTTTTGCATATACTTGTATTAGGCATGGTAAGTGATCAAGAAATAATTTACACTATGCACAAGAGTTAGTAGCCTGTATGCAAACACTACTGTTTTTTGAGGGCCTTGAACCTCTCTGTATTTGACACTAGAGGGTCCTGGAAGAGGCCCCTGTATATTCTGAGAGACCTTGAAGTAGACTGACAAGACTGCCTTTTGGTTTTGTGTTTACTCTAAATTCTCTTATACTTGTCCTGTCAAACCTTAGATGATTTACTGGGGTGGGGGGATGTCATACTAGTTCTTAATGGTTCACTAACAGCTGGAAGTCTGGTTGACTTAGTACTCAGCATGAGGCCTCTAAGTGGAATCTCTCACCAAAGCTTAGGAACCACATGTAACTGTGCCAGGAACCTTGAGCATACAGGATCTGGTCTACCAGTCAGTGCACTGGTCAGGCTACCTCACACACACCATTCCAGTCCTTCTACTGCTGGTCTCAGACAAATGTCTGCACCAAAACGTGGGATTAAGTTACCTCATACACCGTTTGGAGGTTTCTAGTTATGATCACAAAACATTATCCCCTGTGCAGCTCAGGGCTTCTTCTGGGAGAGTCTATGGACATCTCTCCTGAGTAAGGCTCATGATTCTCCTGACTGGCCTCTATTATCTTTTTTTTAATGTTTCTCATTTTGCCAAGTGGGTGGTACTTGGTGTATTTTTCTCCATATCTTGGGATGCTATTATTCATTTACTCTTATTTTATTCATTTATTAGTTAGTACATAAAATTACAAATAGGCATTTCCTAGCAAAAATTAGTATTAGTTTGTAACAAGCATTCCTCTCTGTCTTAGACAGGGTTTCTATTTCTGTAATAAAACACTGTAACCAAAAGAAACTTCAAGAGGAATGGGTTTATTTTATCTTACCCTTCCAGGTAACTCTCTCAACAAATCCTAGGGACCACATATAACTGCAACATGAAGAGGAGTAGACGGGCTCCCTAAAACCTCTGTCAATGCACACTAATCAGGCTACCTCACACTAACCATCTCAGGACTTCTACAACAGCTAACAGTATATCGCTGAGGGAAGTCATGTCAGAAACTCCAATATGGCAGGAGCTGGAACTAGGAACTGGTGAAGATGCCATAGAGGATTGCTGCTTACAGGCTTTCTCCACTTGACTTGCTCAATCTTCTTTCTTAACTATCCCAGGACCACCTCTCCAAGGGTGGCATTACCCACCATGGCTTGGGCCCTCCCACATCAATCAGTTATGAAAATGCCCTACAGACTTCCCTACAGGCAAGGCTTTTTGAGAGAGTGCTTCAACTGAGATTCCTTCTTCTCTGATGATTCTGGCTTCTGTCAACTTGACATAAAACTAACCAGCATATTCTCACTAGTGTGTGAAATGTGGTTTGTGTATATGTGTGTGTGTGTGTGTGTGTGTGTGTGTGTGTGTGTGTGTGTGTGTGTTGGTTTAAAGCTGAACTGTCCCACACAGGATCATGTGTTTATACCACTACCAGGTGGTGTTTCTTAGGGAGGTTCTAGAACCTTTGAGAAGTGAGGCCTGGTTGGTAGGTTTAGGTCACTTAGAGGAGACCCTTTGAAGGTTATGCATATCTCCAGCTCCAGCTGGTGCCATAGTGGCCATAGTGTGCCCAACCTGACTGTTCATGATTTTATTGGCACACACTGGGATGCCAACACAGCCCATCATGGTAAACCCTTCCCTATCATGGTAAACCAAAATCCCCTGAAAGTCTGAGGCAAAACAAATCATTGAGAGAGAGAGAGAGAAAGAGAGAGAGAGAGAGGAATGGGTTACCTGTTGCTTATGCAACAGTGGGATTTAGTGTTGAGAAGAATTCATATTATTACCAGCGTAGTTATTGCATTGTGTTCTCAAATTTTGTATAGAATATTCTGATTTTAAAATCATGCTTTGCAAACAAAATAAAACATCACTCTCTAAGGCTAAAAAACCTAAACAAAGTGAAGGTTTGATTTCAATCACTATAACTGACCAGGAAGGAGCTAAACAAACAGCTTGCCTTCTTGGAAAGCAGTATCACATAGAACAGCATCAATTATCCCCTAGCACGCAGATAATCAGATAGTGTCAGCTTCCTTTTATGGCAGATGTCCATCTGGTTCAGTTCCCAAGCCTCATTTGTCATCAGTGAATACTATCCCACATACATGGTAAGAGTACATCACAGAAAGTCAATGGCTGGCTTTAGCGTAGTGGGTAATGAGATGCCTAGGACTTGTTTGCCCACCAAAGTGTGCTCTCCTCCTGCTGTGCTTGGGCATAAATAGAAGTTATATGTACTGGTGGGTTAAGACATTCTTCTGCATCTCACAATGTGCTTTGATGGCACTTGGGCTTTGTTAGGTATCCAAATCTACTAGCTTGGTGAGGAGCCTCTGTTGGTTCCCTCACAGACTGTCTGATG